AATCGGTCGCTAATTGCGACCGAAAAAATTCGGTCGCTAATTTCGGTGGCTAAATGTGTTTTTTCTTGTAGTGAATTTTGACTAGTTTAGAAGTATTATAGTAGGTTTGATTTGTTAATTGAGATTTTCTGTGAGCAGGATCTGACTTCCTAAAAAATTAGGGATTTGGAGCATTCAAATTTGAGAGCACTAGAATTAGAAGGTAAAGGAAGTTACTAAATCTTCAAATTTCATAATACTCTAAACTAGAAGATATGGATTGTGAATGTGACTTAGTCACATGACTTAAGTTTCAAGAAGTTGGATTGTGTGATTATGTATGTGTTAATTGATAATGGTTGTATGTGAATGTATAATTAATTTATATGAGATTGAAAAAAGATAAATTTTTTGTATGAATGTATTGCTCTTATATTGAAATTAGTAAACTGATTTACAATAAGGAGGGTAAGATTTAAAATTAATTTGATTTGGAACATTAGAAATAAGGTAAGATCTTGGTTGCTCTGTTGATATCCAAAAGAAAACATTGACTTACAATGACTTCTTCAACTTGCATACCTTCTTGTTATGTGTATCCGGGATCCACATCCTTCTGGTAGCTCCATATAAACTTCTTCAGACAATTTTCTGTGTAAGAAGACATTTTTTACGTCAAATTTGTTGTAAGGACCAATCAAGGTTTACAACTAGAGATAACAATAGTCAAACTGTGCTAATTTTGGCTACGAGAGGAAATGTGTCAGTGTAATCTATTTCACATGGTTGTGTATACCCTTTTGCCACTAATCTAGCTTTGAATCTCTCAACTGTAACATCTGTATTAAATTTCACAATATACATTCATTGACATCTTACTAGTTTTTTTCCAACTGGACAATCTACTAATTCTTATGTTTCATTTCTTTGCAAGGATCTCCTCATTCATAACATCATTCTACCTGGAGTCAACTAAAGCTTCCTGCACATTGTTAGGAATAGATACAATAAATAATTGACTTATAAATGCGATATTTGAGTTAGACAAATTTCGATTACAAATATAACTACTCATAGGGTATCTTGTTTTACTGGTGAGGTCAGGATCATAAGTAGACTTAGGGATACCCCTAGTGACATGATCTAACAATTTTTTGTTTTCTGTATTAGGTTTTTGAGGGGATGATTGGTGTGGTATATCATCAACATTAACAGGCAAACTTTCGATCTCGACATGCTCAAATTCTTTCTCATTATGTGGTTGTTGATCATCACATTGTTGCACACTTTCATCATTTCCTGATATAACTTTGTAACTCTCTTTCTCCAATTTGACCTCAGTATCAATTTCTTGAAGAACAAAAGTCTAAACTTCATCATAATTCTCCCCTTGAATTTCATACTCAGGAGAAAAATATATCAAAGTCTCATAAAAAAACTACATCTATCCTAAAAAAATATATTAAAACTATATACATCATAAATGTATATATTAAAAAAAATTTAGAACTCATAAAAAAACTAAGATAATTAGATAATTTGTTTATTTATCCTATTAAGATATAAAGCAAACTCAGGAACATATAAAAAACAAATTTTAAGTTAAATCGTCTAATTGATTATCATTAGAAAAAGAACGAGTAGCTCTAAAATCATTAGGAAGTTTAGTATTTATAGATTTTATGGTTTTAAGAAAAGAAAAAAAAAAAACTTTGAAGAACTTGTGTAATCTATGCGACACCACTATGAAGGATTCAAAATGGATAATTGAAAGTAATACCTAAACGATCAACCATAAAATTATGAACATGATTGAGAAAAGATTAATAATCTTTGGATTGTTGAAGAAGTGTTAAAATGATTTTGTATTGGTTTAAACTTGTCTCAAGTAATATCTAGATCTACTTCGGTTAAGCTACCACGTGGTTTGAAAGTGGAGAATTTCCTTTGCCTTTACCGAATCTATATTTTCAAGTTCTCGCGTATCAGAACAATACATTATTCAAAACAAGTAAATAAAATCATAAATAAAAGTATTATTTTATCTAAAAAATAACTAATTCGAAAAAGTATACCTTCCATCATATATATATATATATATATATATATATATATATATATATATATATATATATATATATATATATATATATATATATAATTATTGTTTAATCGATATTCCTTTCTCCACTAACTATTTAAACAAAAACCTAAATTTGGCCTGGAGATAAAGATGAGATGGCTATTGTTTTCAGCATTTCCATAATTTTTCTTTCCACCTCCATTAAAATATCATTTTCATAATTTTGTGTTTTATCCTAACTTTTTTTTAATTATGTACACCTTCTACATATTCATTCTTTGACTATTTGATTTTTGTGTGTTATTATTTTCATTAAAGACATTTTCTAATTATTAAAGGTAAATAATCGTTAATATTATATATGAATTATATATTTATATACTAAAATTGTACGAACATACCCAAATTGTTCAATATGAAATAATGTCGTGAAAATAAAGTTGAATTCCGAAAAAATCAATCTAAAAATGTATTATGGATTGAGTGTTTCATAATATATTTTCGGAAAGACCAATCCAAAAATACATTCTAGATCGAGTATTCAGAACGTATTCCTGAAAAAACTAATATAGAAATATATTCGGGAACAACAAATCCAAAATACATTTTTATAAAGACTTTTTCAGAAATACCGTACAAAATATATGTTTTAGATTAACGCATTTCGGATTAACTATTCCGAATATATTTTCAGAAATATAAATTCGAAATGCATTCCAAAAATAAAAATAAGTATAAAAGTAAAATAGATTTATTATAATTATGGAGTACAGGTAAATTATGGGGGTAAAAGTAGGGATGACAATTAGACTCGTCCCAGTGAGGACCGAACCCGTCCTCGCCCTGAGTTTGACTGGAAACCCGAGTTGACCGGGGCGGGCGGGTTCGGGTTTTCCCGCTTTAAAAGTCGGGGCGGGCGGGCGGGATGGATAATGCAATCCCCACCCCGACCCCGACCACGTCCCGTCCCCGCCCGACTTTATATTTAAATTTAAATTTTAAAATATTAATATTTTTAAAGTATTTCCTTTTCTTTTTCTATTGCATATAAGGTCATTTTTTTATATTTCACCGAAAAAAATTTCTTCTACCCACTTATTAATTTTTTTGTCTTTTTTAATATTTTATATCAATTAATTTATTACATTATTTTTTCTTTTACCTTTCAGTTTTTTATATTTCATTAATCTCTCCCATCAATTTGTTTTTTTTTCAATCTTTTCAACCAATTTGATGAACACAAAGTTAATTTTTTTTATTCTTTATCTTTTTCTAAATATTTTACATAAATCTTAGTAGTAACTAATATTATTTTATTTATAATTTATATTTATTAGGTTTTATTATGTCATATTTTTTTATTTTATTATTCTTATTTATCATATATCAAATTTTATCTTAATAAAATAATTATATTTTAAAGGATTAAAGGAATTGATAATTTAAATTTTTATTACTTCGAACTAATTGAATAAAAATTAACTTATTAAATATTTCCTTATAAACTATATATTTCATATTTTTAAATAACAACTTAAAAATGAATTAACTTATATATATAATCAAATGTTTGAATACAGTATTATAATAATAATGTTATAAATATTCAAATATTTGAATATAGTGTTATAATAATAATAATATTATAAATAAAAAATGATTAAATATTTATTTTACATATATATTTTAATATAAATATAATAAATTAAAATGTATATTTAATTAATAATAATTATAAATTATAAGTATTTATTTATATATAAAAAATAGATAGTAAAATTAATTTATTATAAATGTAATTATCTTTTTAAAAATAATATAAATCGGGAACGGGACGGGAACCGAAACCCAGCGGGAACGGGGATAGGGACTTAATTTTTAATCCCGACGGGAATCGGGAACGAGGACGAAAATGGTTAAAAAAGTAGGGAACGGAAATCGGGAAGCAAAACCCGCCCACGCCCCATTGTCATGCCTGGGTAAAAGAAGCAATAGCTTTCTTATATTGCAATGCCAGCATGTAGCATCAAGGTTTATATACAGGATGTGTAAATTACTAAATTTCCTTATCATATCTTTATTTATATATTTAAAATTTATAATAATTTTTTACAATAATTAAAATTTATAATTGTTTTAAACATTTATATTAAGTTTTGATAAATAATTTACAACATGAGCAATATTTTAAGATTTTAACCAGACTAGTTGATTAAAATTTTACATTTTTTTCTCTGTAATAATATATTAATTTAGTTAAGTGATTTGTGTAATTAATTTTTTATTTTAATAATTATCAAATATAAAATTAATAGTTAGCGGATCCAAATCCATGGCTCTTGCACTGCTCAGTTATCGCAATATCTCATCACTTCACCAACTCATTCTCATAATTTATTTCTTCTTCTATAATAAATGCATATTAATGTTGGAAGTTAGACAAAAATTTTGTTAGGTTTGCAACTTGAACCCCACCCTAAGTTCCTAAAATATCATTGACCACTACACTAATTCTTTCATTTCAATGTATGACATTTTATTCATATATTGATCCAATTCTCTTCATTGCTTTTAACTACCAATAATTTCTTAAAAAATTCCTACTTTTTACATTAACAATGGAAACAAATTATTCATATTTTTTCAGGTTATTTCGGTAACTGAAAAATTTAAGAAAGGAGAGACAAAAAACCGATTGAAGGGAATATACGTTTTGCAATTACCTATACTATAAAGAACCAACATTTTTATTATCCCATTTTACTAGGGGAAAATGGTTACAGCTCTTGATTCGATATTTCTGTTATCAAAACCTACATATTCTGTATGTACGAGACAAAAACTAACATGAGTATAGATATATTCTCTTTATACAACAACTCTAATATACACTTTTTTAAAAAAAAAAAAACCAAAATCAGTCACGATATTTCAAACTCTAGTTGGTGTTTTTTTCTTCTAATTTTAGCTTTTGGATTCTCTGACGTAGTCTACGCCGGTGGTCATTTATCTTCCAAAGTCCATGTCCCAATATCACAGTGGAGTATATGCCATGTGTGATAATGGGAGCAAGAATGTTATCAGTCTGTGAAGTTGGCATTCCAAGCAAAAACAAATTAGTTTCTGCCTCTGAAACCCAAGACAACAACCAAATCATTTCAAGTTAAGGATTACCTGGATCCACTCAAAACCTAGGTAGAGGGCCAGCAGTCCTTCCAGAAGTGGGGAATAAATTTTTTTCATTTGCCGTTTCTCATACCAGGCTGCAAACCAAAATTAGAGTGACTGAGATCAAGACATTATATGTGGAAAATGAACTGTTTTTTTAATCAAATGTACCATCATAAGTAATTAGTAAATTAACAAGTCAGATTTGCTCCATATCTTCTGCTTAGAGAAAGATGAAAAATGTGAATTGATACTCATGTTCTGCCACAGAAGAAAAGAATTGAACCTTCAAACAGCTTTTTCAAATCTTGACGACCAGAGCGAGATTGTAAAACAGGTGCAACAACATAAGTAGGATCTGAAAGGGAGAAAGAAAAGGAAAACCATTATGAGAGGCCATCATTAATCAGACTCAGAACATAGTAGGAGAAGTGTAAAAGGGGCATGGGCATCAAACAAAGTCACCTTTAGGAGAGGCAGCCATGTAATATAGAGATCCAGTAAGCACAGCTGTAAGAACAGCTGCAAATGCCTGAGCAAATGGAACAAATGGAGGCAGCACACCAGTCTACATTTTACCATACAAGTCATAAGTTAGCCATTGGAATGAAACTTTTAGCTTTGCATATTTGTAACATTAAAAGGAAACAGAATAATGGGTTGTCAAGTGCATGAGGCTCCCACCATTGTGGGTTGTCAAGGCAGTAAATTTATCATTGCACCAAGGCTTTACCCTCATAACATAGGAAAAGACAAGTTCAAAAATGCTACACATACCAATGATGCCATTCCTTGAGCATCTGTTATAAGATTACTGCCTCTCAAAAATATATTAGCCAATGCCCCCTGTAGAATTGCAATAATAAATCATTAGACCGACAGATAAAATGTCCAATCTAGAAAACAAGATTATAAAGCTTACAATTTTTGTTTTCTTTTATATTCATCATAAAACTCTAGTTATTCATCCACTGAGCAAGTTTGTACTAAACGAAATAAGTACAGGATAGGTGTGAGTCTTTCATCAATCTCAAGATACAGATACCTAGAGGGTAAAAGCAAGTTTTTTCTCTATTCTAAATAATGATTAAGAGGGAAAACACTAATGAAATTAGTGACCAGAGATGTTATAGAGCTCAAAACTATTTACAGGGCATTGTACAGAGTTCAAATATAGAATCCAGCTAAAATTGGAGAACTGTGCAGCATATGTTTAACAGCCATCAGTCGTTCATGTTAGGCAGTACCACATCTAATTCGTCTGAAACGAACCAACATTTATTCAAAATTGAATTATTCATTGTAGATGAATTAAACTCAAAAGACATTCAATCATTCTCAATTTGAAGCTTATACATACAAAGATTAATTTTCAGACATATCTTGGCATATACAATCGAAACCAGAGAGAGAAGCCTAAACAAACCTGAACAGCAGCCCTGTAGAAGAGCTCCTCTCCAACTGAACTTGCAGCAACCATCAATATAAACTGTATAGTACAATCAATTAGATCCTTCTTCGACATAGCACTAGATTTCAAACAATTCAATATGTCAAAGCAAGCAAGTTTTATCAAATTACCTGCCAAGGGGACATCCCGTAGAAAAAGCTCCACAGTTCTTCATCCTCTACATCTCTGATGGCACGGGCATGGGGTGATAGTTTCACCACTTCGTCCTATTAATTAACATGTCAACTCGTTAATTTGAAGCTTTATAAAAGAGGAAAGTTTACCCTGACAAAGGCTCAATACATGTGAACAAACATACATCGAGTATAAACAAAAGGGCCATAATTGGAGGAGCTGCATATCCAAGCCCTTTCAAAATGGCATCTAACGATAGATGGAAACCCCCCAGAGAGTCAATTCCTGTAATCGAACAAATAAAACTCCCCGCAACAGCCATGGCACCGTAAATCCCTGAAACAAGGAAGTCATTAGAATCAACACATGGCAGAAAAAGCAAAGTTTAACTCAAAATAAATGAAATCTAATTTCCATTTTCCCAAATGGAAAATTCATTAATTTTATTTAAAGAGTATCTTTCGAACACTTTTACTTCATGTGCTACACAACAAAGCAACTCTCTACTGCAGTTTAAAGATAGTAAAAGGGGAGCAGAAAAGTTTAGAAGTTTGGTATTGATTAGATTCAAAAGTTGTAGTGATGTCATCATAACTGAACCAAACTCACCGATGCCATAACTGAGTCTGACGACAGCACCAATCTTTTCCCAAACGGGAAAGTCAGCGTCGTTGAAAGTGCTGCGATTGAATGTGGTGACCTCCATGGCAGGTGTGGTGAATCCGGTTCGAGTCTCCCCATCATCGATTGCATCGCCGCTTCTCTCCGCCGAAGCCTTCACACAACGCACCCAAAGCCTAGGCGCGTCAAAACACGCGTTCTTCTTTTTCCGGGGTTGAAATTCACATAGCTTGGAGCAGTGAGCAAGCGCTGCAGGAAGCGATGAAGTTGAACTCGAAGGGGGAGGAGTGAGTCTCAGAGACAGCTCCATCAACAACAACGACAAGGGTTGGTTCAGAGGCACGAAAGAGAAGCAGAAGTTTCAGACTTGGCGTTGTTCATTGATTGCCACTGAGGTTGGAACATACAATAACATATCACAACATCTCTTATATCGTTAATGTCTGTGTGTGTATCTCTCTGGTTGTGGTTTGTATGAGTCGTGAGAAGGGAGAGGTTGATCTGAAGGTGGAGTGGTCAACTTGGACAACATCGATGAGAATATCCCAACATCCAACCATTCCCTGCCATGTGGAGATAACGTTGGCAACTATCCAGTTACGTGAAATTCCATGATTTTCTTAAGCTTTTCGATTTATGTAAAGCCACTAACTAATTTCAATTTTTTCATTTCCTAGCGCTACGTTCAACCCTACTTTAAGCAAGCTAGTACAGTTTCTAATTTACCAGTTTTATAATCTATCTTATTACGTGAAGCTTTCCCCCATCAAATTTACCAAATTTCACACGTCACCTATTTCATAACTCATGGAATATCAGTTATCACATGCATCCTTCCTTTTAAAAATGAGATTCAAAAATTATTTTTGAAAGATAAAATTAAACTCGTCTACATTTTTTTAATATAGTATAAAAAGCTATTTTAATAATATTTATTAAAAAGTACAAATATCATTTTATAAATTGATTTTGTACTATAAATTAGCTCAGCCCTACCTTCTAATAATACTTATATCAAGTAATATTATATTACTATTTATTACGGGTAGTAAAAAGTTTCTTTTGAATATTTCACGCACATATATTTTGAAATTATCTATTAAAATGAAGAGGCTTCAAGTTTTTGTCATGTTTGGTAAAATGACACATTTCCCTTTTATTAAAATAACAGCGTTTCACTTGTACTGAAAAATATAATTAAAATGAAACCCATGTTGTCTTTTTCTTAGTTGTGTTTACTACCACAAAAATCATATATGGATGCGAAGTACGTGGCAAGGACAGAGTTAGTTACGTTACGTGCGTGTTAGATTTTTATGTAATCACGTTTTTTAGATACATGAATATGATGACTTTTTTCATTTTCTAACAAATAAGTTTTTTATTATTTATAAAATATATTGTATATATATAATTCTTATATCGGTAAATAAGATATAAAATAGACTTTTCTCTAAAATACAACGTCCGTCTTCTAAATAAAATATAAAAATATAATGTTAGTTTACTTTCAAAGAGATTATGATGTTAAAGTGTTGATATATAATTATTCAAGATTGTTTTAGGCATCTAATTTCTTTTTCATATAATATAGAAAAAAATAAAAATTATTTCTTTATAACATGAATAAATTAAGTTAGTTAACTTAAATTTAAAACATTATATATGTTTTTTTTTCTATAAATATACATAAAATTGAATTATTTAAGTAGTGATATGTTTAGTAAGTAATTAAAGTTTTTTTATATCAACACGTGATGTGATTTGCATCATGATGTACACAAAAGATATATATATATATATATATATATATATATATATATATATATATATATATATATATATATCTTTTTTGGGATTTTAATCTTTATATTTAAATATGATTAATTAATCTTTTAATTTATAAAAATATATCATTTAAATTATTTTACATACTTAATTTAACATTTAATGATAAATTTTTAATTTAATGTAACTGATAAAAACTTTAGATATAATTTATATTGTTTATATCTAAAATTAATATTTAATAATATATTTTTATAAAATTAAAAAAAATACATTTTTTAACCTTTTAAAAATAAATTAATAATTTGTAAATATAAAAAGTAAAATAAAATTATAAAAAAACATATTTAATTCATATCATAATTATAAAAGATTACAAAGAAACTCATAACTTACTAATTTGTCAAATTGTAGAATCTAGTACTCATTGTATTTAACTTAACCAGGAGTTTAAATTCCAAAATTAACTTATTTATTCATAAATTTAATTGTAATTAATACAAATATAATAAGTTCATACATTATATTTTAAGTATTATAAGTAAATTTAATTTTATTTAACAATCAATATAAAATTATTTTTGTATGTGAATATTATTGAATATCAGATTAAACAGATAAGAATTTTTTTTATATTACATTATTTTGTTAAGGTTGTTCTTGAACAAAGTTTTAATAAAATCTCAATATATTAAATTCCTATTTATTTTCTGCACTCAGTTTTTGAAATATAATAAGTTTACTAAATACTGGATGTAATGTCAGTAATATTAATAAATATGTAATACTCTCTTCTTTTAAAAGAAAAACTTATTTCAGAACATAACTGAAATTGAGAAGAAAGAAATTAGTAGATAGTTACATTCAACAAACAAGTTGACTAATTTGCGTTGTCATCAAATTGGAATGCAATTTCATTAATGTGGAAATATTGTAATAAAACAAAGTAAATAACTGTTCATATAATAAAACCTATTTAATTTTGAATAATATGTACGAAATGATGAATTTTAACCATATAACTATATAAATAATAAGAAATTAATAGTTTACATATAATTTGGCAATCATAAATTATTTTCATTTCTATATAATTTACTTTACCTACACATCAAATTATTATTATTTTTCTTTATTTCAATGTTTTCTGCTAAAATCTTTTGTTGAACATAAAGAGTCACCTTGTTATAAATAATTAGCACAATATATATTATCATATATAATTATATATTATTTTTTAGTATATTTTTATATAGAAATGAATAAATATCTATTTTAATTCTATAAAATTAACTTGTAAGATTTATGGTTTTTAAAAGGAGTGATTTTAGTTTGATTTGATAGTAAAAAAAAATAAAAAAAATAATGATTCAGTATACTTTATATTTTAAAATAAACATCATTTGTTGGACCAAAAATTAATATATTAATTTTTTCTTAAAAAATAAAAAAATCAAAATATAGAAACATTTAATTTTAAAAAATTAAATATATTTTAAATAAAAATGTATTTTTAAAATTTTAGTTATATTATTATAATGAATTTTAATTTTAAATATAATAATTTAATATGTAAATTATAAAAAATAAATTTATTTATTTTTAAAATAAGAATTAAAGACTTATTATTATTATTATTAAATAATCTAATAGTTTAAAATAAAAAATATATTTTTATTATATTATTATTGTTATTATTATTTATTTTAAATAATCTAATAGTGTAAAATAAAAATCTATCATAATTATTATCTTTAAATGATTGAATATTAAAGATTTATTTTCATACTAAATAATTTTTTTATTAACTTAATTTATTATACTTGTATTTTAAATAAAATAATATTATTTATATTTTATAAAAAAGTTATTTATAAACTTATAAATTAGTTCAATATATTTTTCAAACATAAATTAAATCTATTTTAACTTTTGTAATTTAGTTCAAATATTAACTATTACTTAATAATTAAGTTAGCTTATATGGAAGTACATCCAAGTCTAGATTTCAACAAGCAAACTAAGTTTATAGATATTAAATATGATATTATTATTATTGGAACTAACGTGAATTAAAGGTGAGAGAAATAAATTTTGTTCATAATTACAATGTGTATTTTATTATTTATTACATTATTAATATAGTTTATATACATGAAAATGTTATGCTAAAAACCAGAAAATTTACTGAATTGACTTATTCAATATATTACAAATACTAATATTTCAAGTACTTGAGTGATACAATTTCAACTCTCTTTTTTAAATCTTCAAATCTCTCATTCTTCAAGACTTTTGTGAAAACATCGATCAATTACATCTCAATTTTGCAATAAATCACTGTAATTCTTCCTTTATTCATCAAATTTATAAGGAAGTTATATTTTACTTTTATATGTTTGTTCCTACCATGATTCACTGAATTTTTTTTGATAAGTTTATGGTAGAAACATTATTTATCTTAAGCTGCATTTGTGTCTTCATAGGGATCTTTAACTCTCTTAGCAAATCCTCAAGCCAAACTCCCTGACATGCTGCATAACTCCTAACTATATATACTTCATAACTAGATAGAGCTATTATTGGCTATTTACCAAGAAACAACAACATTATTTAGTAGGAACACATATCCAGAAGTGTTCTTTCTCTTCACTAGATCACCACAATAATTAGAGTTAGCAAATCCAGTCAACTCTAATTCTAATTTCTGCCTCCCAATAGGAAACAATACTCCATAATCTGTTGTGCCTTGAATGTATCTCAACAATCTCTTTGCAGTTTGCATATACAACTTCTTCAGTTTACCTATGAATCTACTCACCAGTCCTACATTGAATGATAAATTTGGCCTGCTGTTACAAAGATAATGTAAAAAGCTAATGATTTTCTTGAAGATTGTGTCTCCAGATTCATCCTTTGTTAATTTCAAATTAACCTTAATAGGACTCATTATTGCATTTCATGAAATCATGTTGAATCTTCTCAACAATTCTCCAATATATTTCTTCTGATGCATTAGCAACCCTATAGCAATGTAAGTGAACTCCATGCATAGGAAATAACTCAATTTTCCTAGATCTGTCATCTCAAATTCAATCTCCATTATCTTCTTAAAGTCTTCAATGTTTCTTAAGTTTGCTCCAGTCACAAGTTTGTCATCAATATAGAGACAAATTACCAATAGGTCTTCTCTAATGCCTTTCTTCACATACATATCATGTTCAATAATACACTTTGTAAACTTTAGATTGAGTAAGAAGGAATCAATCTTCTTATTCCAAGCTCTTAGAACTTGTCTCAACTCGTAAAAATCTTTCCTCAGCCTATAAACTTGATGTTCTATCCTCAGCCTATAAACTTGATGTTCTTTCCCATTCACAACAAATCTAGGAGGATGTTGGACATACACCTCCTCCTCCAAAGGTCCATGTAGAAAAGATGATTTTACTTCAAGCTGAAACAGTGACCAATTCCTTACACAAGCCATAACTATAACCAACTGAATGGATTCTATTCGAGCCA